AGGAGGAGGATTGGCAATAGATGTTAGCTCAGAGCCAGTCTTCCTCAGCAAAAAGAGGAGGATTAGCATGGATGTTAGCTCAGGGCTGATCTTCCTCACATAAAAAAAAAAAAAAAAGAAATGAGCTAAGGTAACACAAAGTGTTCCTCCTCCAGTTTCCAAGGGGAATCTGGAGGCTTCGTTTGAGATGTGCCTCAAAGACCTGAATAGAATGCTTGAGGCAGAGACGGCTGAGGGAGCATCATGAACAAAGATGAAGGTGTATAGAGGACACTGTGTCACCTGCATCATGGGACCTACGACTAGACAGGCAGTAATGAGCCGTATTCTCTTCTTCTGGTCTGCAACATCCAATGGTGAGATTTTAATCCTGATGGTTTCTACAGTTTCTTAGAAACTTAGCCAAAGTCTCAAGGGTCACCTGCTTTTACTTTATAAGGGAGGTGACAAAAGCACAGCTGAGGAGGTGACAGGCTCTTTACCATCTGAGCAGTTAAGGAGCTGATTCCACAGATCAGTCCTCCAACCCAGGACCTCTAGGACAGGATGTTCCCACCGTTGTGCCGACTAGAAGGGGGCACCGCGAGCAGTCTCATCTCTACCCTGTGTGCATGCCACGTGGGCATCGTTCCACGTGTGCCGTTACGCAAGAGAGACTGGGAAGCCCTTCTCCCGATGGGCGCTCACCCATGACCCCTAACCTAAAGCTAAGCCAAATGCCAAGGTCACCTGGAGCAGGCATCTAGCAATATCAACCCGGTCACCTGGATGAGCTGGTCCTGCAACAAGGGCCAGAAAAGAGGCAGAGGCTGGAGGTTGAGAAATAAGCATACTGTTGGCAAGAGGGACTAGCAGGACCCCCTTCCTAGCCTATATGCCAGTAAGGATTATCAGTACCTATGTTAACAGCATGTTCTCAGCAAAGCTTAATATCAAAACCAACAAGGTTCAGACAGCAGTACTCCATCTGCTCCACCTCTGACTTAAGTGTGCTTTGACCTGACGACTGTGCATTAGCGGACAGAAGCCACCAGACCTGGAGGTATGGACCATGTGTTGTCACCTCCCTGCCTCTGCTTACTCTCATGGATCAGAGGTTGAAAAACGCCACCCTAGAGGATATTCCAGTTGTATTAAGCACCTTTGTGTGGGACAAAGACACAGGCAACACTTTTTAGAAATAAATATGTTTATTCTAAAATTAATGGAAATAATTGAAATTATAGGGGAGAATGTTAAAGAAAGATTATGAAAAAGAAGAAAGCACAAGTAGGGCAATTAAGACTCCAACGCAAGAAAAGGCTCTCAAACACCGGACTTTTGCTGACCCAGGCTCGAGTTGGTGGCTATCAAATTAGGCCTCCGTCATTACTTCCGTCACTACTGCGTCTAGCTAAAATCAGCTCATTGCTACCGAGAATCCAGAGAAGGCAAAGGGGCTCCCAGCTGTAAGGAGTGGGTACCAGTATCCAGACACCACTTCTTCGATGGGCCAGGCCTCCTAACCAAGCATATCTGGCCCTTCTTTCTCTAGGGTTTACCCCAAAGCAGGTAGGTGCTCAGGAACTGAGTCATTTGGCAGAAACTATAGCAAAGGTGGCCTTCCTCGGCTTGATTCTGGCAAAGTCTGCATGGGCTGAAAGAATGAAAAGCTGGGTTATCTGAATGACGGCCTTCAGAACCCGAATAACCCTTTGGAAAGACTTCTCACTTCTTACTCCTAATGGAACGAGATGCCCAGCAGTGACATGTGCAAAGATAATCTGAGGGGTTCTACCAGCTCCCAAACCAAATACAGGGCTTGAAGTCAGTGTCCTTTGGTTAGACAGAGCCACACTGCCCAGGTGGCTGGAGACTACCGCAGACAGCTCAATGCATTGTTAGGGTGTAAGCAGAAGTGGATGATGAAGATGACAGAAAACCTAAGGCAGGGCCCTGGCCCTGGGGAGCTAAAGACCTAAGTTACAAACCACCTTAAAACAGGTATGACTGCCACTTCGGTGGAGCTGCCTATGAAAGTGCTTGGAACTGAGCCGGACTGCTGCTCCCCCTTGTCTGCCTATTGGCCCTAGTATCAGTGGTCACACACAACCATCTCGCCACAAGGGGGTGGGGGTCTTTCACCAGCAGGCAGTTCACGAGCTGCCACCACCGGATCTGGGATCTCACGTGTGTGCCTAAATAAACAAATGAATGCAACCATCCACAATGATTAAGATTTGGGACATTTAATTATTTAATTGCTTTTTAAGAGATTATTGCTGCAATTAGGAAGGGAGCGTTGAGATGGGAAAAGGGAGGTTAAAGACAAAAGCTTTAAAAGAGGCAAGTACCATTTTCCAAATATAAAACTGGTAATATTAAAAGTGACATGGCAGTATATTCACACGACTATGTACTTCTAATGCAGAAACAAGACAGTATAGTTTTTGCAGAGGCCAGCGTGACATCTGCGAGCAACATGATATCATTAAGACATCCTGCCCACCTCTGCCAGACTAGGTGTTACCACACGTACAGATACACGGAATGGAAAGCCCACAACTTTAAGTCTAACTCAGGCTCATGATCAGAAATTAAAGTGGCTACAGTAGGTCCCTTTGAAAAACACCACTGCCCCCCGTGGCAATGCTGCCACAGCACAGAAAAAGGTCCTGGGGAGACACTGGAAGCAACAGCACACTCTCTAGGGCATATGCTTCTCCATTTCAGCAGCTGACAAACCACAGTGGTGCCTGCTGGGTGGTTCTGGGTCCCTGGACTTCCTCCAACATAATGAATGCACTGGAGACCCAAGAGACAATTCATGCGCAGCTCCGACCACAGCTCCTCTCAGGAGGTAGCCACCAGTTCAGCAACTGGAGGGAATGACTCCCATGTCCAGAGGATCTCAGCTCTCCCCCTGCACACGCACACACTCACACCCCGCCCCCAAGCCCTGCAATGACGTGGCCAGCCAGTCACAGTTATTGTAGCAAGTACAGTGCTAGAGAACACTTCAGACAAACGTGCTAAGGAGCTTGGAAAGTCTGGTCGTCTTGGCTCTCCCAGCCAGCATTCTCAGTGAGGGAGGCTGGAGGATAGCAGCCTGAAGAGGCTGAATATTCAGGAGTCCCTGAGAAGGGTAATGGAACAGAGGAAAGTTTCTCCTGACTTATCCTCAGTACTCCCCTACCCAAATAAAAACCTCAAAGACTGACCCATCTCCCCTAGGACCTAGTCAGGAACAGCCCACCACTGCTCACTGCTGAGGAAAAAGGCACACGATATGTCGTCATCAGAGTAGGACAGTGGCTCAGCCTAGATCAGGGCCCCATGCAGGGCAGACGAGGGTAGGAAGCAGGCGCAGGGTTTGGTCCTGTCCCTGCACTACCCTGAGCAACTAGTCTTATGAAGGGATCCCAGGCCCTAGACCACAACTGACACTTGCCATCATGTTTTCCTATTCCAAAGTTTATCTCGTCCTAGACAGGGCTGAGAAGCGTCCAGTACCTGAGGCTAAGTTGCCAGAGTACCTTTGGGAGCTGAATAAAGGAGGAAGCGGCAAGAAGAACACACTAGTGGAGACAGAAAATTTTCCTTGTCTTGGGGGCTTTCTCAGGCCCTCCTCACACCCACCTAGGGTAAGTCAAGGCAACTTGTGAAGGTGCTTTGAGCTGTTCCTTCAAACAAACATATTCTCATACATGATGGCTTAAAGCAATGGAGGAGGAGGGGACCACCACCAACTTTGGTGACATTTATTTGAGTTTGGGTGCTCATCCTACTCTGATACTCAGAAAAGTTTGCAAAAGGGTCTGGTTCGGCATCATCACTAGCCCAGGAGAGGGTTCAGGTGTGCTCTGAACACTGCCAATTCAGAGAGGCAGCACCAGGGCCACAAAGTCCTAGATTCTCTGGAAACCACGTTCTCTTCCTAGTCCATGGAATAAACCAGTGGGAGCATAATTTCAAACAAGAATCTCCAAAGATGGTAGCAACCAAGTATCAAATGGGGACTGTAATCACACAAGAGGACCAATGGACCACACCAAACCCTGCCTTGTAGACTGAGCAGATAAGCCTAACCAATCGAATCCTGCATAGTAGGCATAATGGCCTGGTCAATACGTGTCCTAGAAACACAAAACGAGTTGCAATAAAAGTGACTCTAAGAGAGACAACTAAGCTACTTAACGAGGAGGGCTGAAAACGCCTCCTGCTTGTACATCCCATGCCCACCCAGAAGACATCAGCCTCCTCGACACTTCCTATCCGACCAGCCCATCTGCCTGAGATCACGAACAAAGCCTTTTTTGATCTCATAAACTGAACTCAGCTTCCCTAAGGAATCAGGTCAGGTCAGAGCTGCCCCACAATGACTAAGTGAAGTTGGAAGCTAGAGGTTAGAGAAGGAAATGGTTAAAACAGTTGCTAGGGTAATATTTAGAACAAGGGCAAAATAATTACGTAACGGAATCTTCAGGGTTGTCACTTTAAAAACCACAAAAGGATGATAAAAACGAGGAACAAGAATCCTGAGGGTCAAGCTGTCTCATGGTCTGTCTCACTGTGCTCTGTGGAGCAAGACCAGATGTTGAAACTGTGTGTGGCCTGTCCCACACCCTGAGAACCTTCTGGAGGCCAGAAGCCCCTCAGAGCTAGAAAGGGTTTGGGTTCAGCGGGGTTTTGGAGAACCATTCATCTGGCTGCCCTGAGTTACAGTGTCTGTGCTGAAAAGGCTGTCCAAGAAGACCGAGGACAATTCTGCCACCAGGTTCCTGTCAACGGTTGTCTGGGCCATGCCGTAGATCGCACCCTACAAATCCAGTCAAAGCATGGTAATTAGTGACGAGGGGTACAGGAACAAAGACGATGCTGGGGTTCTGTTCTCCTTCTCCCCCCGTCCTTGTCTCCCCTGTGCCCTCCTCTCCCCGACTCCATTCCCACCCAGGAACCATTCCATCAGAAGACAGCTGGCACAGTAAATTTTTTTTTTTTTTTTTTTTGTGAGGAGATCAGCACTGTGCTAACATCCGCCAATCCTCCTCTTTTTTTGTTTTTTGCTGAGGAAGATGGCCCTGGGCTAACATCTGTGCCCATCTTCCTCCACTTTATATGGGACGCCGCCACAGCATGGCTTGCCAAGCAGTGCGTCGGTGCGCGCCCGGGATCCAAACCAGCGAACCCCGGGCCGCCGCAGCGGAGCGCGCGCACTTAACTGCTTGCGCCACCGGGCCGGCCCCTGGCACAGTAAATTTTTCACGGGTACTTGCCATTCTGCCTTTCTGCCCAAAGGAACTCTCCTATGGATTTTGCCATAGAAAATTCAAGAGAAAACTAGTTTATTGCCTTTCCTGTGTCAAAATTTTCCTTTCAAATGGACACCACCACCATCTGCCTTTACAGCACTTTCAAATTAACAAGGTGCTTTATATATAGTATATCTCATTTGAAACTAAAAAGCCCTGGGAATGGGTGAGGCAGAGGCCACCAGCTCCAATTAAATAAGGAAAGAGGTTTGTGGATACAGAGCAGAAGAAGGAACAGACTCGAGGTCATCTGATTCTTTCAAACTCTCACCCACACCTAAACTTGCAGAGGAAGGAAAAACCCAAAGTGTCCCTACCATTCCTGTGGTCTTCGCTTTAGGATTCTTCATGATTTGAGTGACAGATTCCCGGATGTCCTTTAAGAACTGTATGGCTACTCGCTTCCGGGTGTGTACTAACGTGATGCAGAAATGAATACTATGGGAGAAGAAAGAGACAGACAGAGATGAACCTCAGAAAAAGAAAAAAAATCCTAAAATAAAGCAGCCCAAAATACAGGAATTTATTGGTTGCTTCTTCATGTTATTTGTGACAAGTGTAGTCATGAAGTTGTTCCCAGTCCTGGGACCCAGGGCTCTCAAATACATGTGTTGTCAAGCATGGGCCAGCAGGAGGGCTTCTGAGCGTGATCAAGAACCATCTGGATACAATGACTACAGCTGGCTGTTCTGTCCCACCCCTCCCCTCCAAAACTGTCAACTGCTAGTCCTTCAACCATGTGACCACCGAAGGGATGCTTTTATCTTAGATGATAAACCCTCGTGGGGACAGGGCCGTAAGGCTGGGGCCTTGAAGGACTTCAGGGCAAACAAGGAGCTCTAACTCCCCTGGAGGGAGACTGGGGCACAGAGGGACTGTAAAGAGGCAAGAGCCCAGCTGGGGCTGGCAATGCGCCAACATGTGACAGGGCACGGGCACATGGAGGACACGGGGAGACCTAGTCCACTGGAGTGCAGTGTTTATTTAGAGGCATCATGGAAAATTAGGTCAGAAAAGCATATTAAAGAAGACACTAGCGCCTGAATGATGAGAGTCCCTCTGGAAGGTTCTGAGCTGAATATCACTCAGGTACTGAGTCAGTTTATAAGAGCAATCTGATGGCTGTATACAAGACGGACTGGTGAGTATGGAGCCTAGAAAGAGTGGGGTGGGGGATCTCATGACCGACCCCACGTCTCAAGAGGCTGCCATCTTGATACTGTTCAGTATCAAGAACAACTCCAGGTGGCAAGAGAGATCCTGCAGACACCACAGCTGCCACTAATGTGCTGGGCTCTAAGAGTCAATCTCTGTAGTTCAGGTCACCTTGCTACCCAAGTTGTTCACAAGTCATGCAGCAAAGGAAGGGAAAGAGGCTTCTTCAAGCTTACCTGGGTGGGAACTGCAAGTGGTTCAAGTTCCACCCCTTCGCAGTCATCAGGTTAAAGAGCCGGTAGATGTCAAAATCCCGGGAGCCCAGAGCAATGACTGACAACTGAGGATTCCCAAAAACAAAGATGCCTTTGATGTTTTCCAGTCTTAAACAAACAAAGGAACAAAAAGGAAATTCAGCCACAAATATTCCTCTGGTCATCATCTCTCTAATCTTTTGCCTCTGAAGCATAAAAGATGTACTTTAAAAAAAATCCTGGAAAAATAATTCCTCCATCTCTACGGTTTAAAAAGTCATCTATGTAATCCCTAAAGCAAGAAATGGTACAGCATTTCTCAACAGACAGATCCATCAGAACCCTATGCGGGCCTTTCTCAAATGAGAAGCACCTACTGGCCGCTTTCGTTCACCCTCGAGATTCTGAAAAAGCCTCCCCATCCCGGTGACAGGCAGAGAGACAGGCAGGTAATACATGAACAGATAGGCAAAATAAAGCATGCGGCCCAGTTCTAGCCTTAGCTTAACCCCAGATTTCATCACCCCCTCCTCCCCACCCCTTCTGCCCCATCTCCAATTCTTTTCTCATTCCAGTGACTCTCCAAGTGTGATTCCTAGACCAGCAGCATCAGTATCTACAAGGAACTTCCTGGAAATAAAAATCCTCACACTCCTATTCCAGACCCAGTGAATCAGAATTCCAGGAGTGGGGCCCAGCAATCTGCATTTTAACAAGCCCTGCAGGTGAGTAGGATGCAGGCTCTAGTTTGAGAACCACCGTCTTAACCACTCAATACACTGTATATTAGCACTTGGTAAGAGCTGCAAGTTATTAAACACACCCTTGGAGACAACGTGGCCTACAAATAAAGCCCTGACCTGACCCTCCAAGTCACAGCAGAGCAAGGGAGCTTATCCTCCCAGGCCAGCACCACGCTCCTAAGCTGCCGTCCTAAACCCCTGGTTTCTCAGAGGATGGCAAATGGGCTGGGCTACAGGTGCTTGGCCAGGTAGATGCCTTGAGCCTACTCTACTAGCAGACAAAGCAAGAGACAAGGCAGATCCCGATCTTCCACACATACTCAGACTTGAGGAAGCGAGCGGTTTTGATGATCTGTTTGGTGGCTTCAACATAGCCGCTCTCACCGAAGTGCATCAACGCGGCCCAACAGGCAGCACTGATGCCACCAGGCCGTGAGCCCGCGATGGTCGGGGAAGCGTAGATGCCACCTTGCCAATCTGTGGCGACGAAGAACTGATAGCTCCGATACTTCTTGTCACTGTACAACACCACTGAGGAGCCTTTGGGGGCGTAGCCATACTGAGGGCAGAAGCAGATGGGTGAGTGCACCGTTCAAGACGCAGACCTGTCCAGAACTCTCATCATGCAGACTCCTCCTTCAAGTGTCAGCTTGTCTCTGTTTCCCACTCATGTCAAGAATTCAAACTTAAATTGTTAAAGGGTAAAGAGAACTTAAGGGATGGAGTTTAAATCTCTATTTTAGGGATGAGGATTCTGAGGCCCAGGAAGAACAACGTCTTGCCCAGTTAATGGCTTTACTTTCTTTCTCTCACGCAGCATGTGGTTTTCCTTATTTAAAACATTACTCCAGGGTGGTATGTCAGCATGGAAACAAAGATCAATTTCCACTGGAAGCCAGGAAAGGATGGAATTCAAGTCACCTGGAGCAACTAAAATCATGATCTGACTCCCTTTCTCATCTTTTGTGGTTAGTATTACACTTCCTTTTTAAAAACATTGTGCTCAGAATCTAGAAGCCACTTAATCCAACTTTAAAATAAACTACATACTTCGTTTCCTTGCAGCAAATGTGCCCTCCTAGTTAACTCTCAGTGAGGCTAACACGGAACTAACCTCACTCCCCGACCCACACAAGGATGGCTGGTAAGAAAGAGGGCACAGGAGCTGTCTGGGTGCCCAGGCAAAATGAAGTCAGATCCTGACTGATGATCTGTTGCTGATGATTCAGAGTTTGAAAAAGAAGTCTTTACTACACTCTAGTTTAAAGCAAGCTCTGAAAGTGCAATCAAAACAAGGCGCACATTCCTGAGGCTGCTGCTGCTTCCACATCTGGATACGTTTAAAAGGGTTCCCAACTGATCTAGACTTTGTCTCAGTCCACCAGGGGTGGCAGGCATGGACATTTCAAACATTACAAGCTGAACATTCCTGAGCATGTAAGTTCTTCCCTTTTTCCAAACATACGCCTGTCACTGAGGTGCAGGAGCCAGTGGCACGGGAGCTGCAGCATTAACATAGCTCCGCTTAGGAATTCCAACATCAACCTCACCTCCACCATCCACCCCACATAACCTCAAGGCTTCAGGGAGCTTTTCTATAAAGGCCACTACACTAGCACGTCCCAGTTGCACATAGTCAGTGGATACAGAAATTCTCTTGGCCATATGACACACAGATAACAGGTTCCTTTTCACTACTGCTTGTCATCTCTATCACTATACCTTGTCACCTGAATCAGCTGTCCAGGTGAGAGCAAAGAGCCAGACTTAACTTTATATTTTGGGGGGGAAGCTAATGCTTTAACCAATTTATTTTGTTGATAATAGTCAAAATAACCAACTGTCTACTCTGACTAACATTTGATCTCTGCCCTTGCTCACCTTATGAGTATCAGCTGAAATGCTGGTCACACCTTTCACCCGGAAATCGAATGGTTGCTCCAGTGGGTATCCTGCTTTCTCCATAAAGACGATGAGGAATCCCCCTAGACAAGCGTCTACATGAAGAGGTATTTTGTATTTGACAGCCAGCTAGTGCCAAAACAGAAAGACCATAAGAGAATTTCATTTATTGCCCTCTAACAAAAACTTTGCAAGATGTGGGTGGAGAGGTGGGCTATAACCACAAGGCCATTATATACTCTGTCTTCCATCTTTAAAAAAAACTGGCTATTTTTGACACTCCTAATAAAGCTCAACTTTCAAATGTAGTTAGCCTTCAAAATAATTCATCTGAAATGTGATACCTATTTCATATTTAAACATGCAGGCCCTCAAACTCACTGCAAAATCAGGCAGGATGTGAGCAGCACTCTGACTCAGGCTGCCTCTGGAGGGGGAAAGGTCCTGCTTTAATAATGGCGGGCGGGGAAGGAGGGAGGGGGTGCTATGGGGCAGCATGCTGAATACCACCCTCTGGTAGGCATGCTTCTAAATGCAGATTATTTCCTGATCTGAATCAAAAGTCAGCACTCTGTTAGAAAATCCAATTTAAACAGTCTTCTTCCTTGTATTACCCCTCCCCCACAGCAGCAGCTAGTAACTTTCAGAGGCTCCAAACAGAGCTGCAGGGCTTAACACAGGGCTGCTGAGAGCTATTCATCACTACTGTGCTTGAATCTAAACTCCGAATCGCTTCTATCTGCCAAGCACTGCACCATTAGATTCTACTCTAAAATCTCAATTGATTGCCTAGTAGCCCGTTTCTCTCACGTACCTTGGCCACTTCAGGAACAGGATCTATCACACCATGAGGAAACTGTGGGGTAGAGCAGACGAGCATGGCAGTGTTCTTGGAGATGGCTCTTCTCATTGCCTAGGGGTTTAAAGTTTAAAGGAAAATGAGAAGCCACATCACAATTACTCTTCTCTTCCGCTGCCAAGAGCAATCTAGGCTACCATTCGAGTTTCAGTCCACTTGTGCGCCCTCCTTCACCTCTCCAACCTCGGAGAAAACCGCCTCCCCAGCACGGTGGCAGAATTACAAACACGGCCAGATGGGTCCATTTGGGGAAAATAGTCTGAGAGCACAATACAAAAACAGCAAAATCATTGTGGGGGTAAAAAGAATATTGGGCTAAAAGGCAAAAGAGCCACACGTGAGGCCCAGCCCCACTCACCAGCAGTGGAACCTTGAGGAAACTACTTGACCTCAGCCAGTCTATGTCCTCATCTGTGAACTGAAATAACACTAATAGCTCCTACGACCTCCCTGGGCTGTCATAAGGCTCAAATGTGATTCTACAGCACTCTGAAAACTGGAAAGTTCTACACAAATGCAAAGCATAAAAATAATTACTAAAGGGATATTATTCAGCCTTAAAAAAGAAAGAAATCCTGCCCTTTGCAACAACACGGATGAACCTGGAGGACATTATGCTAAGTTAAATAAGCCAGGAATAGAAAGACAAATACTGCACGATCTCACTTATATGTGGAATCTATAGCAGTCAAACTCACAGAAGCAGAGAGTAGACTGGTGGTTGCCAGGGGCTGGAGGATGAAGGAAATGAGGAGATGTTGGTCAAGGGGTACTGAGTTTCAATTATGCAAGATGAATAAGTTCTGGAGATCTAACGTATGGCCACGTGACTATACCTAACCACGCTGCACTGTATACTTGAAGTCTGTGTAGAGATCTAGAAGGTAGTCTTAAGTACTCTAATCATGAAAGAAAAAGAAGACAGAAAACAGTAACTATGTAAGGTGATGGATATGTTAAACAACTCGATTGTGGTGATTATTTCCCAATGTATACGTACATCAAAACATCAAGTTGTACACCTTAAATATATGTAATTTTTTGTCAATTAATTAATCTATCAGTTAATACCTCAATAAAGATGGGGAGTGGAAATGCTAGTGCTAATAAACTGGATAGTTTACTTATGAAAAAAAAAATTACTATTATAATGGCAACAGTACTCATCAGGCCAATCAAAACCAGAGCGGGAGTCTTGATGCTCATTTTACAAACAGAGAAGAGCACGCGATGGTGCTGAAGCAAAACTCAGGTCTTTAAAGTCTCAAGTTAGGGACCAGATCATCCTCCTACGAGAATTCCTGAGTCTGTGAAGAGACTGAAGCTGCAGTTCACCACCACTGCCAGCGGCAGTTTTCACAAGTTTGGCTGCTACCATCAAAGGCATTTCGAGCCCATCTGCGTGTGACACGGAAAAAGACGGTCAATCAGGTGCTCTTCTTGCTTCTCACAGCCCAAGGCAGGCAACGGCCCTTCAGAGGAACTCACCCGAACATCCACCTCCATCATTTTGTTCAGTGGAACCCGAATAATCTTCATCCCAAAATAATTGGCTGCTTTGTCAAATGCAGCATGGGCACTTTGGGGGGCCACACTAAACGACATGGAAGAAGAGAAGAATGAAATTCAGATCAAAATAGGGCTCAAGAGAGAGCACAGCAGCAGCTAATCTAAATCACCAGAGTAAATGTCTCATTATTTTTCCTCAGATTTTTTAAAGTGCTTCTATTGTTTTACTTTTCTTTTTAAGCACAAACAAAAAGAAGTCAACTGATTCTCTACAGAAATCTTCTCCCTACTACTTAGGAAATCATTTTGGCAACAGGAAGAACAACATGGAACTAATCCTACATTGGGGATCCACAGCATAAATCAGGGCTGACAGGCAAAGGATGAGGGGCGGGGATTTTGGATCAGATCGACACAAGGCAGAGCCTTCTACGGCTGGCTATCCAAAGACTGTCCCTCAACGGGGAACAAGCTTCCTGACACGTTCAAGCAGAAAACGTAAGACTGCTTGGCAGGGATGTCAAAGTGGTAGTCAAGCATCAGAATAGTGGTCCCCTCCATCTCTGAAAGACCATGATCCTATGAGAAACTAAAATCCCCATTTTTCCTACATACTTGGAAGCAGCACTTCAAATAGTAATGAAAAAGGAAACTTGTCACAGTTAAGTAATATTTGCTTCACAGTTAAGTAATATTTGCTTTCAGATTTCTCTCAATTACTCCACTCTTACAACTGATCTGTTCCCTTTAAGGGAGAAGACTCTCTATTACTGAGTAAGCACAAAGCCCAAGATTTACACACGAAGAAAGATGGCGGCCTGATTTATTCTCTTAGGCTAAGTAAGAAGCATAGCATGAGATCATGTGCAGCAAAACCCTTAGTCACTGACACTTGTGGGAAAAACATTAACCTAAAAGATGTGGTATAAACACACTGTACAGGGAGAGGGTCAGGAGAAAACAACACAACCAGATGCCAAAACTACGTCCATGGAGTGGCAATATGGGTAAATCTCCAAAAGATTTTTGAAATTTTTCCTCCCAGAAAACACCCCTCATGCTGAAATGTTCTTAGGGAGCACCCTGACGCAGCCTATTATGTTTTAGTAACTTTCACGGAACTAAGACAAGTTGAGAGCTTTCCATAGGCTCCAGATAATTTATAATAAATATCACAGAATTCAGGGATGTAGTCCTGTAACTCTGTTACTTTTAGAAAAAGAATCTCGTTCTTGTTTACAGTATATACCATACATAAACTTGGAGGGTTGGGAAAGGGAATGATCTTTAAAATTAACTGGCTGATCCACCTAGGATTTTGCTGAATGTCAAGGGATAAGGGTCCAGGGCACAGGACAGGAGCAAAGAGGACTGGAATTGCCAGAGGAAGAGCAGAAGCGGAAAACAGACTGTCAGGCTGTGTCACACAGCAGTACTCCCCACAGACAGATCCAAAAGGGGGAAAAGACAGCCACATACATACATTTCAGGAGTTTTTATCCCGTTCTCGAAGGCCAGGTCCCGATAAGCTTTGCAGGCCATCAATATGCTTTCTGTCCCCCCAGAGGTCACCTGTAAAAAAGAAGAGGTGCCATCTGTGGAGGGGAGTTAGAGAGAGCTATCAGCATGCGCTTCCTGCCTTGATCTCGTTGGTGTCTGACGGAGAAACAGATGAGGTCTTGGATGAATGCTGCAGAGCAGACACTGCTACGTCTTCCAGAAGGAAAATCTGGCTTTGTTGCTAAGCCCAATCTCGGTTCAGGAAAAGAGGAGAAGCTACTAAATAAGAATGGGCAGAAACTCTGCACTGTATGCACAAACTCACATCCACCCAGACCGCACCTGTGCACACTCCACTTACATTTCCGTACCCCGTCCAGGTACAGATAGGACAGGGCATTTTACACCATTCAGAAGCATCAGGATTACTGACTCTGATGTAAATTTTCAATGTCCACTGAAGAATATGAAATTACAAAGTTACAATCCTAGTAAACTATGCAATACATTAGAAGACCAAGAGACATTCATACATTCCAAAGTGAACTCGTGGTTTTGACAAGTTTGAAAGACAAAAGTAGAAGCCTCTACTTAGATAAAGTTTGTTGTCTTACTTATCTGAAATCAAAACAAAAATCCTCATTTTTTAAATGAAGTAAAATGTTTTCCTGAAGCTAGGCCTAGCCCCTCTGATACAGGCGAATTCTTTACCAGAGTTGACACAAAAATACTCAGAGGTCGTTTCATTTGTCCTATTTTCCTCACTGGACCACAAACTCATGAAGGTGGAGACCAATCTGTTCATGACAACAGTCCTAGCACCTAGCCTAGTAGCTGACATCTAACAGATCTTCAATTAACATTTCTTAATGCCTGAGTTGACTCAGTACACCACGACCAACACAGCACACCATACCCATCTGGCTATCCTTTGATAACATCTAAGAATGAATCATTTCAAAATGAACAGAAAAAAGAAAGCTAGGTGAATATTTTCTTAGATTTATCATCTCCAAAGATTCATACAACCTTAGACAGTCTTTTCATTTTACAGGTGAGAATGGAGCCCCTAACAGACTAAAGTGATTCGCCCAATGTCGTCCATTAGCATCTGCTAAGAAGTAAAACTTTCTGTGTTTTCATATTTAGTGTAACTTAATAAGAGATGGAATGAGAAAGTGATTACTGAAATTTAAAATAATATCCATATATAGGACAAAAATACCACTGGATACAAAATCCCAGTGGTCAGGAGTTATATGGCAGATTAGCTGAGAAAAGTTAGTCGTTTTTTGATTCAGGAAGTCTTCATGAAAATGTGACCATCATCCACATGGTAATGCAGTGTCTTAGGCACCAGACCCCTGTTTTGTAGGTCTCTGCATTTCTATGTTAGAGAAGACAAAATGCTCACAGTTGGTCAGCTCTGCAAATCAGCAGCATGTCCTGTGGTCTAGCATAAAACCTCAGAATGTCACATGAGCTGTGAAGAAAGTCAAGAAAGGACTAGCAAAGTCCAAGTCTGCAGTGCGTCAATCTCTTACTAAGGCCCAGTAATGACCTAAGCAAAAATGTTTCCAAATCCCCTAGTCACCCACTTCACGTGACCTATTTTTAGTCCTGTAACTAATCAAATCAACATCATTATTTATCAGGCAAACAACAGTGTACTTTTCACTGTAAAAGCAGGAACACCTATATTCTACTCCTAACTTTTATTTCTGATTCCCACATTCTGTGTTTAAATATGCTGCTACTCTCCCATTTCCCTCCATCCTCCGTACCCAAAGAAAAACAGAAATTTACCTGTGAAGTAAGAAGATACAGGTCTTATAACTACTTATGCGAGTCAACTTCTTTCAACATGGCCCGCTGGCGTAGTGGTCAAGTTTGTGCGCTCTGCTGCGGTGGCCCGGGGTTCGTGGGTTCAGAACCCCAGGCACGGACCTATGCACCACTTATCAAGCCATGCTGTGGCAGGTTGTCCCACATATAAAGTAGAGGAAGATGGGCACGGATGTTAGCCCAGGGCCAATCTTCCTCAGCAAAAAGAGGAGGATTGGCAACAGATGTTAGCTCAGGGCTAATTGTCCTCACCAAAACTAAATAAATTAATTAAATTTAAAAAAATTAAAAGAAAAAAACTCACTCTGATATAGGATATGTATGTCAGAAAACAAGAGTCGAACATGGCCTATTTGGAAAACTTTCTTTTAGATGCTGTTTGGGTCTGATGGCATCTGCACAAGCCAAGACTTTTCTGCGGCAACCTAATTTCCTTCAGTATATGGAGGCACTTCTCATCCATTCTGAGGCAAATGAAGTTAACACAAGGAAAGCTAGTTTAAGGTTTAAGAACAATGAACGAGAATAGCTTAAGACCTTAGTTGGGAACAGGCTCAAGACTGCCCAGCCATTTGGCTTCGTCTTCTTGTTTCCCACATCTGAACTCAAGAGCGTTCTTCACCAAATGCGGCTCATCAAGAGAGACAGAGACTGAAGATACAGAGAGAAACTCAAATAATCCCAGAGGTAATTAGTTCTCTTATAAAAATCTAAGTATTAGAAGAGACTGGGGACCTTAGACTCTACCCTCCTCCTGATCCTGACATAGCCACTAGAAAAGATCAGAATAAGAGAGGCATAGTTTAATTGTAGCAATGCAAAAAAACCCCCATGGGTTGGACTTCCAGATTAACAAAGACTGAAAGTACTTCACAGATTCTCTCTCCCCTAATAACTGTAAGAATGAAGGAAAAAAAGGAGTAATAACCTGCAATAACGACAACCAAACAAGGAAAGAGATAATCTAATGCAATAAACTTCAAACACTGACAATGAAAAAAAGAAACAAGTTTCAAAAGCACAGCAGAGAGCAAAACACAGTGCCTAACCCCTCTTTCAAGCCCTGGAGATTGTCCAGTGCGTCAGCAAGATCCTGAGAATTCTCAGTAATACCCCCTAAATCTTCAGAAAAGCAAGTGGAGGGGGTTTCCTTATCTTCTTTCCTTATCTTCAGATCAGTGAGTGGTGGACATGGCTGCTAGGGAGAAATAAGCAAAATGGAGAGAGAGAACATCAGGACTGGCTCCTTATTTCAAGGGAAGACTTGAGGGATGCAGGATGGGCTAAAGAAATCATCACAGCCCAAAGGGTATTATTCTCTCCCAACTAGGCAGAGTGAACTCTGGTAGGTAACTTTTAACAAACTCTCAGAAGAGACCTAGAGATTCTAATACAGGTGGAACAAAGCTTCAGCTGAGCCCTGCCCTCAACCAAATACAATCAGACAAGAAATCACCCACCATGTATCAGAACAAATAGAATGTCTAGAGAGTCACCCAAGCATGAGCTGAGATGAAAGAAAATGACATGGTAACTACATAGACATATAAAAAGAAAACAAAGTAGTATGCAAAATAAAGGCCCAATTCAGAAGGTAACAACCTAAGGACAGAAGGAAATTCCTCATGACTGTTTCTCCCTATTGGACAATATCATAAGAACATGAATTCAATAAAACAAGAGTTGAAAGACTGGACACTGAAACAACAGAATGAGAATGCAGACCTGAAAAAACAAAGTACCAAACAGCATCAACAAAGAATTAATAAATATATTAGGAGCAACAAGGAGCAGAATAAACACTGCTGAGAATAAAAATACTAACTTCGAGGAGAGGTTAAGATAAGTTTAGTGAACCCAGGGCCGGCCCCGTGGCTCAGCGGTTAAGTGCGCCCACTCCGCCCGGGTTTGGATCCCGGGCGTGCACTGATGCACCGCTTGTCGGGCCATGCTGAAGCTGCGTCCCACATACAGCAACTAGCAGGATGTGCAACTATAACATACAACTATCTACTGGGGCTTTGGGAAGAAAAAGGGGAAAAAAAAAAGGACGAGGATTGGCAATAGATATTAGCTCAGGGCCAGTCTTCCTCAGCAAAAAGAGGAGGATTGGCATGGATGTTAGCTCAGGGCTGATCTTCCTCACACACACACACACAAAAAAAGTTTAGTGAACCCAGATAACAAAGAAAGAGATTGAAAGATAATGCCATTCCACCCTCGGAGAACTATGTCCATCTGGCTAGTCAAAGAAAAAACAAAAGGCATTCAGAAGAATTATGGGGATGGCTGGAAATCTGTGAAACTATATTCTCTAAGGAACAGCTGAGTATCCTAGGAAATACATGGGAAAGAGAAGATTCAAGGGGAAAGGCTTTCTAGTACACAAAGGTCTCTCACATGGAAAAAAGACAATTATGGAACTTCTACTTCCAGCAATATAGATCACATACCTTATACAACCCTCCTACCTGAAACAACTAGAAAGCCTGAAAAAACATTTAAAAATTTTTTACCTCCACCACTACGCTAACATAAAGGAATATACCGAACCCCCAAACAAAGCAAAATCAAGAATCCTACTACATAAGGGAGTGCCAAAGCTGGCTTTAACTTTAAGGGCTGCTGCCAACCCCTAGAGCCCTCAGACTCCCACTCGGACAAATGAACAGGAGATAAATTCAGGGCCTGCCCAAGGGAAGGGGTCTAACAGGAGACAGCTAAAAAAACTGAGACTACCTCCACACTCTTAGCGGTACAAGAAATAAACCCCACTGGTGCAGAAGGGGACAGCAAGAAAAACTGCTTTTATCAACCCTGATGTGCAGGTAAAGAAAAATAAGAATCTCTCAAGAATGTATAAGAAGACAGCTTTTTTGTGAGTTTGTGGTCTGAATTCACACTACCTCTGTAGTACAAAACTACAAGCTGAGAATTGGACTTAAACTGGTTCCAGTGCAGCAGCACTTCCCAGCAACTCCCCAGCAACTGGCAGAAGTAATTACAAACCTCCTCTGGAAGAACTTAACCTCAATCTAGGCCTCACAGTTAAGTTCCCAGGAAAATAAGTGGCTCACAGTAACAAAAAAAAAAAAAAAAGAAAAGGACAAATATAAGGATACAAGACAACATGAGTGAAACCAGCAGAAATAGACAGGTAAGGCTCAGGAATAATGGAATTATCAGACAGACATATAAAATAATTATGTGCAATATATTTAAATAAACAAAATATAAGCCAAGGAAAGGAGCTATAAAGAACAAGACAGATTAAAAAAGAAATTCTCAAGAATGGAAAATAAAAAACAGTAAATGAAATTTAAAAACTCAATGGAAGAACTAAAGAGTAGATTAGACACAGCTCAAGGGGGAACTACCCCTCTACTTACCGCCTAGCTCCAACAATTATCAACTCACAGCTGATCATTCGTCTACCCCCAACCACTCCAGCCATGGCTGCTAGTGAGAATATCAGATGTTCTAACAGTTACAGTTTACAGGTTACCTATTTTTTTCTGGCTGCTTTTAAACACCAATTAGATGTGTGGTTAGCCCTTCTCACTCTATGCTGCATGTCTCTTAACCTCTTTTGTATTTTCTATTAGTCTCTCTGGATTTTATTCTGGTTAATTTTTTTTTTAATAATTTTATTTATTTATTTATTTTTCCCCCCAAAGCCCCAGTAGATAGTTGTATGTCATAGCTGCACATCCTTCTAGTTGCTGTACGTGGGACGCGGCCTCAGCATGGCTGGAAAAGCGGTGCGTCGGTGCGCGCCCGGGATCCGAACCCGGGCTGCCAGCAGCGCAGCGCGCGCACTTAACCACTAAGCCACGGGGCCGGCCCTGGTTAATTTTTTTTTTTTTTAATCTGCCTTATTCCATAAATTTGACTTATGAACCATGTAAATATTTTATATAGTTATAAAGGAACCAAGACTCCTTGGACAAATAGCTGATTCTGGGTCTGGAGCAGGAAATGTACAAGGTGAACCTGGAATATTTCATCAAATAAAAATATTTTGTCAAAAAAAAAGGAAAGAAAGGAAGCTTTCAAAGACTACTTGAGTCATAGAAAAGGACCCAGGAGCCAAAATTAAGAAGCTCCCACTGGCCAAAAATGGGGTAATTTGAGCATTACTGAGTAACAACTACAGTGGACTGAAGCATATACAGTATTCTACAATTGATCTACCCTACTGCTGACAGACATTTGAGGTACCAGTTTTTAGCCATCATGAACAGTGCTGATATCAATATACATCTATCCTGACACACACATGTGCTAGTTTTTCTAAGATATAACCTGAGTAGCAGAATTTCAGGGTCATAAGATTCGTGTATCTTCAACTTTACTGGATAATGCCAAACTGTTTTGTGGTTAACCTATGGTCTCTTAAAAGTTCATAAAGAGTCTAATGGCACAAGAGAATACCTACGGACTGTCAGTATATTGTCATCTCCCCTCCACGTCACCCCATTCGTCTAAATGCCATAAGGGAATCCACTGCTAGATTATGGTTGGTTCAATTTTTAACACCTCTGGAATGTTTTTTGGAAAAATGAATGCCAGGAATACTGGTTTTGTCAGCTACTGAATATTTGAACATGCTGATTTTTCATGGTGCCAACATAAAAGTAAAAGAACACTGTTACTGGAAAAAACAAAAAAGCAACTATAAAATGTTCTTGTTTTTAGATGGGCCCTTTAATAATTAAATATGCAGACTTTATAATGATTATACAAAAGTATCTGATAGGATTAGCACCTCTAGGTTACCACTACAGCATAATGGGTCACATCTGACTATCCTGCACAAGCTGAGATTTAGTTTTTTCCAGAGAAGGCATTATCAGTTTGTAGTAACAAATCTAAGCAGAAGTTTATCAATCACACTTTAGGAAAACTAACAAACATCTACTGGAAAGAATAGTTGAAACAAGGAATCCTCATATGTGTTTTTAATTATAATGATACCCTCTTCCTTTATTCCTAAATCAACTAAATGAGATTCAGTTTATAGCAAAATAATCAAGTAAACTTCCAGCTCAAGTAAAATGAGAAGTATATCAAAAAAACTATAAGATGGTTTGACAAAACTATATAGATAAATGGGCAGTGAGGTGGGTGGGGGATAAAAGAGAGGGAGGGAGGGAGAGAAAGGAGCAAAGAGTGCAGATGCAGCAAAATATTTACATTTAGAGAATGAGGGTATTCTTTAAACTATTCTAGCAACTTTATGTCAGTTTAAAATTTTTCAAAATAAAAAACTGAAGAGAAAAAATATCTAGGAAACACATATTAAAATGTTGATACTCTAGATTACAAATTACAAGTAATTTTTAAATTGCTGTTAATCTGGATCCTTCTACAATAATCACATATTACTTGTCTAATAAAATGTTAATAAAATCTCCTACATTAACTACAAAAATAAGATTATTGGATGCCACTTGCACATACTTACACATCCACAGGAGTCTGGTCCCCCATTGAAGAGGGAACAAGCTATCCTCACAATCTCTGCCTCGATCTTACGAAGTCCCGGGAAGATGTCTGGATGCAGTGGATTACTCCAGGCAAAATTGCCATAAGCCTGCAAAGAAATGCAAGCAGACAGGAAGTAAGACAATTACACCGTATAGGACAAAGAATCATGCACTAAACAAAAGTTTCTAGGTATCAGGCACAACACTAAAAACTGGGAAAATGGTAAGATATGTTCCCCAACCTAAAGAAGATCACAATATAGTGGAGGAGACAGACACAAATAAATTATTTTACAATGTGGTAAGAGAGGAAGTATAAATGTGGTTAAAAGCACAGACTAAAACATCAAACAGATCCAGTTTGAAATCTAGGCTTTGCTTATCACTTCTAGCTGTGTAACCTGGGGTCAAATAACCTCTCTGAGGCTCAGTTTCCTCATATGCTAAAGGGGATAATTATGGTACCTATCACATAGGGTTCCAGTGATGTCAATAACAGGAGGCATGCAGAGCACTTAGTAGAGTGTCTGGCACAAAGCAGCTACTGTTCTAAGTGCAATACCAGATGTATGGACATGATGGTAAGGGGCCTTAAAGAGGGAATGACGGACATCCCAGGTGGTCTGGAGCTGTCTGCTGAGTGGAACCTTGAGCGATAAACAGGAATTCATCATTTAGAACAGGTGGAATGAAGGAGGGAAAGGAAGCCAACGTAAGAGCAAGGTGTGTACTCGGTGAAGACAAAAGGTGGAGTTAGTGTTTACGCAGGAAAGTAACAGGAGTGGTTGAAAAAATAAGTGAGAGCGGGCTCCTGGCCGGACTTGTATTTTCTCCTACATAAGCAGCTTGCCTTTTATCCTGGAGGTAATGGGAAGCTACTGAAAGATTTTTAAGCGTAGATGTAAGATCAGAGCATGATGCCAAGATATAACCAAGCAAAACCTGTAATATTCAGTAAGGTATGAGCAGTTTCATAGTTATAATAAAACACAAAGACCTTAGAGACCATCAGTCCAATGTTAATTTTATATGACAAAGTGGAGTGTAAAAACTAAATTTGATTAGAAATGGAAGAAGCTAAAGGCAATTCTAAAGTCAACAAAAAATGAGAACTATGTGAATTATAAGTGGGACTACTGCTCATTCTCAGATCATCTGATTTGAGACTCAGGTAGTATAAGAAATTATGACCAAGTTTCCATCCTTGTATCTTTTTTTTGTGTGTGAGGAAGATCAGCCCTGAGCTAACATCCGTGCTAATCCTCCTCTTTTTGCTGAGGAAGACCGGCTCTGAGCTGACATCTATTGCCAATCCTCCTCCCTTTTTTTTCCCCCAAAGCCCCAGTAGATAGTTGTATGTCACAGTTGCACATCCTTCTAGTTGCTGTATGTGGGACGCGGCCTGAGCATGGCTGGACAAGCAGTGCGTCGGTGCGCGCCCGGGATCCGAACCCGGGCCACCAGTAGCGGAGCACACGCACTTAACCGCTAAGCCACGGGGCCGGCCCCATCCTTGTATCTTCTTATCAAACAAAATTTTGTTTGTCAATAATAACCTCAAATGATGCAACTACCTTCCCTAGTAATCTGCCTTCTACACAGGGCATCTATAAGACCTGGAGACACAAGTAATATTTTACTTTTTTACAGACTGAAGATGTCTTTGACAATATTACACATACTCGTCTATGTTTGGATGAATAGAAACTTCCTAAACTTCTTTAGTTTTATTTTAAAAATAAACTTTCCTTAAGTAACTTTGTTTTTTAATTACAAAAGTAAGGAGGAAGAAGTGAGGTAATATAAACTGGCAGAGAACACACACACTCCCCTTTAGTACTGGACACTCACCTTCACGAGGAGTTTGGTGAGCTCCTCCTCCCCGTTGTACACTGCTCCGGAGGCCTTCCCTTCCTGCCACAAGACATCTGCAGAGAAAGTTAAGACCACCAGGTCAGTACGCAGGAACCTTTGGGAAGACAGGTTCTAATGAAGAAGAAATAGGAAGAAACCTCTCTGGGTACAAAAGAAAAAAAAAAGTTTGAGTGGAAACCCAAAGGCATTCATATATTAAATCAAGAAAAAGAATTCCAATAAAGAGCCATCACAGCAAAATAAAGATGAAAGATTAATTACTATCAATAACAGTGTGAAAGAGATTTTAACAGCATCTAGGACAATAAAGATAGCCCAATAATAACGTTGTCATCACCCCCAACCGTTTGCTAACACAGAAAAATTTTCCTTGATCTATACTCGTTTCCTGTTCTCTGTACGGTTGAGCTAGACCTTATTCTGCAATTGCTTCCTTCTTCTCTCTCTCCCCATCCAGTCAAAGGAAGTGTGGGAACTGTTATCAGCAGAGTTAGCAGAAAAAACCGAAACAACAGTGTGAAATTTCAGCATACCATCATCAGAGTTGGAGGCAGGGAACTGAATCCCTGACTAAACAAACCATGATGCGATATGAACCACCAGCATCCTGGTCTCAGGGGCCCCTCCTTCAGACGAGCCTGGAAACCTACACAGAATTAGCCATCTGCTTCCAGCGACACACGCTGCAGCACTCAGGATCAGGAACACAGTCACACGGGATAAAGCTCAGAGGAAAGGTTCCCAACCAGAATTTAAGGCCCGACTCCACTTCCTGTCTGAGGTGTTCCCCCAGAGATATTCTACATCACGCCTACAAATCTAGTGATGTGAGTGTCTCGGGTCCTTTTGTGTGTACAGCATGGCTGTGCCCCATTGAAAGTGGGTAGTGAGAAAGCTATTACAGAAACACATTAACTGAAAACTACAGCCATGGGCCCTACAAATCTAAGATCTTCAGCTCCAACAAGAGAGCACAAGACTGAGTAGTGAATATCCAGACAAACCCCTCATTCTCACGCAATCTGCCCAGCTGTGGCTTGCTGCCAGTTTTACTTTCCCTCTTTCCTTAAAGGACACTGGTCTGTACCATGCATGTCTTCAGACCAAGAGGTCTCCAGCCTTTCAAAAACAGGATACATGGTTTCATTTCCTGTTCTTTTACTGGTGCTACAGAGTACGGCAATGGACAGTGACTTAAAAACGGAAGGGAAGGAAATCTGGCGGCAGCAACCAGCCCTCATAATCACGGAAATCTTTAATATACACATCTCAGAGTGCTAATCCCTGCTTTATATCATCTACAAATCCTGGACTGTATCTAAATTTTGTACCATCCAATGTCAAAAACTCAACAGACGTCAATTAGAAATTTTAAAATGTATTTGTTGAACTGCAATGTGGCATCCCGAATTGGATCCTAGAACAGAAAAAAGGACACTAGTGGAAAAACTGGTGAAAGAGGAATAGAATTTGTAGTTAACAGTACTGTACCGACATTAATTTTTTAGTTTTGAGAAATATACCATGGTTATTTTAGATGTTAACATCAGGAGAAGCTGGGTAATGGGTATATAGGAAATCTCTGTATTACCTCTGCAAATTTTCTATAAATCGAAAATCATACCAAACTAAAAAGCCTATTTTAAAGAAGTATTTGTAATATGATCTTACTGTGTTTGTGTTAATAATTATAGCTAACATTTACTGAGCACTTACTGTAAGCCAGGTATTATATGTACATGTATGATCTCATTTAATCTCTATAATCATTCTTTTAGATAAGTACTATTATTATTATCCCCATTGTAAAGAGACAAAAACCAAGGCACAGAGAAGTAACTTACCCAAGGTCACACTTCAAGTGGCTAAACCAGGATGCAAATCCAGGCGATTCCATGGGCTGTATTCTTAAACATTAAGCTACCTGGTGCATTTATCCTTCTCATGCATGTATGTACATGTGTATGTGTATTTATGACACAAAACACTATTAACATTCTGATATATACATGCATATACCTCTCATCTATGTTTATCTTTTGATGATGGAATTATAGTGACTTTTTCTTTTCTTTTGTGCCTTTATGCAGATTTCACAATTTTTATAATGAATCTGTATTTCATTTGTTTTTTTGTGAGGAAGATCAGCCCTGAGCTAACATCCATACTAACCCTCCTGTTTTTTTTTTGCTGAGGAAGACCAGCTCTGAGCTAACATCTATTGCCAATCCTCCTCCTTTTTTTCCCCAAAGCCTCAGTAGATAGTTGTATGTCATAGTTGCACATCCTTCTAGTTGCTGTATGTGGGACGCGGCCTCAGCATGGCTGGAGAAGCGGTGCGTTGGTTTGCGCCCGGGATCCGAACCCTGGCTGCCAGTAGCGGAGCGCATGCACTTAACCACTAAGCCATGGGGCCGGCCCTGTATTTCATTTTTATTACATATATTCTCTTTTAAAAAACAAATGTATGTTTTATTCAGACTTAGAAAAGGAAACAGAACCAAGTTCCACTGTCTCTGCAATTTGTTTGCTCTCTGAATGATGAATCTAAACATAATTTCTAAAATATGAAATTCAGCCTTTGAGACAGGGAGTGAGACCTCCTAAACATATACGTACCAAGGATGAACTACTCTTAACCTATGCAAACAGAAACAATGACCAAACGAGCCACATGAAGGAAGGAGAGAGCACGCATTTGCTGAGAATCATACCCAGACAGCTGTAGTCCTTGAGCTTCTCCAGAACTGCAGACGTGCTCAGACCTTGAGAGGGCAGAGCTTTCACATATTCTTTATCCACTTTCAGGAAGGACATGTTCTTGCTAATATCATCCTTAGTCTTGTTCAACTTATCTTGGATCTGCAAAGGTAAGAAAGACAAAGTTAAAAAGGAGACGGAAGAATACAGTGGAGAGAGTAGAAGAACCAGTTATGACACCAAGTCAACTGCTCGAGGCTGGGCACCGCACAGATGCTACAGAACAAGGATGGTGTTTTTTCTTAAAGAGATAGGGTGGTGTTTTTTCTTAAAGAGATAGGGTGACATTTTAACTGTTTAGCTATTTTCTGGCATGTGCAACAGTCTCTTAGAAGTGCAAAAAGTCAACCTTCTCTGAAGGTCAAAGATGCACTCAATCTCCCCCTGCCCTTTTCCTCTGCCATGCTGACATCACCAGGGCTTTACTTGGGTTTGCATCTGCTAAAGTCAGCACCTCTCGGAGGGCAGTATTTGGACCCTGTTCCTACCCCAGCAGCAGCTACAATGTGTGTGCTAAAGAAACAAAAGTAGAGCCATGAACAGCAGCCATAAAATAGGCCAAGCAGCAGTCAAATGGATTCTGGTGTTTGTGCAAGTGATGAGCTCCTTCAATAGACATGCACAGAGCACACCAGGAACTGGGCAACTCCCCACATACAAGCCCAGGCCATGCTGGGAAGTACCAGGAAGACTGCATTCTGTCTCCTCAGGTTGTCCACAGCTTGTCCTGTGTGATCTGTAAGTGCTAGGAGGAACTAAGGTCCTTTTTGCTACCTATTTATCAACTATGGCTATTCCTCTTTCCTCCTCACAGCAACAGCTTCTGAGACCTTTCCTTTCATACATTCACTTACTCACTAAACATCACAACACAAATATGTTGACCTACTACCGTGGGCCAGGAAAACACAGTGAATAAAACAAACTTAGGCAGTATACAGTGAAAACAACTCCTGTTCTCATGAAACTTATTTTTAGCAGCAGAGACAGAAAATGAAAGGTACTGAAAAGTGCTGGGGGAAGAAAACAAACCCAGAGCAGAGTTGGGAGGTGGAAAGGCAAGGGCTGCTGCTCGTGACAAGAGACTCTTGGGTGGTAGGTCTGGGGAAGAGTGGCGATGTGTCACAATTTGTGTGTGTAATAGTGATATGGTCTCAGCAATGTCTGTTAAAGTTTGATGCCCTAGATCTCACGCCAAACATTTAGATTTCCTCATCTCTAGCTGTGGATGATTAGCTTAGCATACAGGAGGAGCTTCTTGGCTGTGGCCCTCAATGAAACCACAGGGAAGCCACTCCTTTAAAACATGTCTCCAATAGGCTGACAGGCAGGCACTGGCAGGTAGCAGAGTCCACACGAGTGGGCAATGCTGTAGCATGTGATGGACATGAAGATATTTTTAAAGTTGTAAATAAAGAATTATGCCGCATAAATGGTGACCACGCAACAGGAGCAAACTCTGAAAGCTGAGCTTCATGCACAGACTAAGCTGTTGGAATAAAATAAAACAGACAAAAAATGACAGTGAGAGGTATATTAGAAAAGCACAGCAAGTACGTCCCCATTCCCAATTCTTGCCTCAGAACCTCTATCACATTTTAATTTTTTCACAGCATTTATTTCAAAATGAAATTCTTATGTACCTGTTTATGTCTTTATTTTCTGTCTTTCCTACTAAAATATAAGTTGCAGAGAAGAAGCACTTGGTCTTGTTCCCCACTGTATCCCCAGCAGCCAGAACTGTACCTGACATAGAGCAGGTACTTAATAACCACGTGCTGAACACATGAGTCTAAGTGATGAATGAGAGAGGGATACACACACACACTCACTCAAAAAAAGGAACTTTTTGTCTCTGAGCCTCAAAATCTGCTTCTAAAAAATGAAAGGTGATTATATAGTTTCTAAGTACCTTCCAACTCTGTTATTTTATAAATTTAAGAATGAGTTCTGGAACTCTAGCATTTATTTGTCTCAAAATCTCAAATTGAAGGAGAAAAGTGTGAAGCGTAAAGGCAGAAAAAACACAGGGAATGACAAAAGGGGAAATGCTATTATCCTTTGTGTCTTCCCTCTCCCTACCCCTCACTCTATAAGGACAAAAGGAGATTTAATGTTAGTAAGATTTCAGGTCAAATAAAAGCCTATCCACTCTCATTCCTCTTCTCCACCCCAGTTATTACTTCCACTTCTCCACAGGAAATGAACCTGAAAATCCACAGTTCTAGGAGGGTTAGCACAGTGGTCTGAATGGATTTTGGTCAAAGGCTAAAGATAACCGACATCTTTTCTGGTTTGGCCAGGAAAGGGAATTGAAAGCCAAAAGTGAAAGAGAGCTTGCAGGAAAGTCGAGGGGCAGGGCAGGGATTGGGGGAGATGAAGACCTCAAGGACTCATGTGCTGTCTTTAGAGCTTGCAAGGCGGCCTGTTTATCTGCACTCGTGATAAAGAACTTGTGGGAAGGTCTTGGGGGTGACTGTCTTATCCTCAGTATGGGGAAGGGTAGAGAGGGGAGAGTGAAGGGAACACATCCTATACTATAGATGTACTACTATAGTATATACTATCTATAGGTACAAAGGGCAAGAGAAGAGCTCTGTTATCTCTCTAAGTTTCTAAACCTGGGATCAGCAAACTACAGCCCAAATCTGGCCTATGCCTGTTTTTGTAAAGAAAGTTTCACTGGAACACAGCCTCATCCCTTTACCTATTGTCCTGTCACTGCTTTCCCTCCACAAGGGCAGAGCTGAAGAGTGTGACAGACACAGTATGGCCTGCAAAGCCTAAAAAGTTCCATATCTAGCCCTTTACAGAAAAAGTTTGCCAACCCGATCTAAACCATGTAAGCACCCCACCCCCAGATAAATATTTAAATTCAGCCCAGCCAATATGGCTCCAAAGCATCATGTCACTTCTGTCAGGTTTTCTAATTTCAAATTCTTCCTTAACAGACATCTCCTTTCTCCTTTGGTCAAATATGTTAGAGAAAGGGTTAGGTCAGGTTTCTCAGTCTTGGCACTTCTGACAATTTCAGCCAGATAATTGTTTGTTGTGGAGGCTGTCCTGTGCATTGTAGGATGTTTAGCAGCATCCCTGGCCACTATCTACTAATGTCAATAGCACCCCTCTCCAGTTGTAACAGAAATGTCCCCAAACACTGTCAAATGTTCCTTGGAGGTGGGGGACAAAAATCACTCTTCCCCCTTGAGATTACTAGGTTCAGTAAACAGAAAGAAAGAGGCACAATCATGGACAGGGGGCTCGGGGGAGGAAACGCTATACAGATTCCACTTACCTTGCGACCAACAATAGGCAGCTTCCTGATGAACTTAAAACATCTCTTTTTAAACCTTGACCATAAACCTAAAAGAAACAAATGGTTTTATTATCCCAACAAATCTCCACGAATATGACCCGCTAGTCATAACGTCTGAACTATTCAATGTGTCCTCTGCAATCTCATTTGCCTTCAGATCGCAAAGGCAGAGTTTCTTTCCTTTAAAAAAAAAAACCTTTTGGGGCCAGCCCGGTGGCACAAGCGGTTCAGTGCACGTGCTCCTCTGCAGCGGCCCGGGGTTCGCAGGTTCGGATCCCGGGCGCGCACCGACACACTGCTTGCTAAGCCATGCTGTGGCGGCGTCCCATATAAAGTAGAGGAAGACGGCCACGGATGTTAGCTCAGGGCCAATCTTCCTCAAAGAAAAAGGGGAGGACTGGCATCAGATATTAGCTCAGGGCTAGTCCTCCTCACAAAAAAAAAAAAAAAGCCTTTTAAATTTAATTTTTTGAATAAGTAATATATTCACATGGTCCAAAAAAATAAACAAACACACAGAGTTAAAAGTTCCTCTCTCATCTATCCCCCAGACCCTTATCCTATCCCCAGGTAAACACTACTATTAAGTTTCTGGAATACCCTGCTAGAATTTCTTTATGCATATAGAAGCAAGAATAAAGATATATTCTTATTTGTCTCTCCTTTTACACAAAAGGTAGCATACTCTAACACTGTACTAGACCTTGTTTTTCTACTTGGGAATATTCTCTTAAACATCAGTGCTTCCTCATTCATTTTTACAGCTGTAGAGTATTCCATTATGTGGATATACCATAATCTATTTAACCTGCTCCTTCCTGATGAACACATAGGTTATTTCTAATATTTGCTATTACAAACCATGCTGAAATAAATAACCTCATAACACACACCATACTGCATTCATGAGAGTATCCTTACAGGATAAATTCCCAGCAACAGAATTGCCAGGTCAAATGACATGTATTCCAGAGTTCTTTACCTTCCCAAGGTTTCCAGGTGTCCAACATTTCTCTTCTCTCCCCCAAAACAAATGACCAATCCATGCTTCTTTTCAAGATCTATGCTCCAGTCTCTCATTCAACACACATCCTAGCAACATTTTCTGGACCTAAAAAGGCCTTCAGTATCACAGATACCAATCAGACTATTCTGTCAGGCGGTACACAGGACAAATATGGAAGTCTGATCCTGTCAATCACAATAATTATAAATACACGGCACTAAATAGACCATTACACCTTTCAATGAATTCACATTCGATATATCTCAACTGACTCTGACAACAAGACTTTGATGCTGGCACAGAAGGCACTATATACTATCCTAAGGCAACTAAGGATCAAGCATTAACAACTTGCTCAATGTCACGGATCAAATCAGTGATGGAATAGGGATTTAACTGAAGTCTTTGTTTTTCTAGTCCTAGACTCCCAGGACTCCACGCTGCTTCAAATGCACAATAGGAATTTTCAGTTATCCCAAATGAGTCTATAAGGAATCCAGACTAGCTTTTACGAAGGTATGAACTGCATATGAACCTTTACTGCATTCCTAGGAGATCCGGGCACTCCAATTTCCCTGGCGAGAAGGAGCTCTCTCTCGACAACCACAGAATGTGTCTGGACCTTCTTTTGGTATTTATTATATGATGCTTGTGTCTTTACCAGTGATTTTTGCTTAGGTTGCATCCCTTTCTACTTCACTCTATAGTGCCTACTGCTGTAGTCAACACACTGTAAATGTCTGGGACAAAACCAGGTAATTGAGACAGACTGATAAGAAGACAAAGGGATTGAAACCACTTGTTCATAATTACTTTTTTGTTTAAATTTTGGGTATTTCCTTTCAGTCCTATGTTCTACACACTGTAATACACAGCTGAGATCTTGTATGTACAATATTGTATGTTCTTCTCACTTACAGCATTTTCTACATTATTAAAAACTCTTCCTAAACATATTTTTATTTATTTTTTTTTATTTTTTTTTTTATTTTTTTTTTTTTAATTTTTTTGTTTATTGCAGTAACATTGGTTTACAACTCCTAAACATATTTTTAAATGTTACCACAATAGTCCATCAGATGAGTATAACTTAGTGTTGCATATTTAAGCTGCTTGTCATTTGACTATATCAAACAATGTAAAAGCTGTAAAGATTCAGAACCACTTCCTCATTTAATAGATAAAGTAATTAATTAATGAGGTAGAAAGAGATCTAAAAATCAGCAAACTGAGTCAGGTGTCCAAAAGAACAGTTATGTGACTAGGTAGAGGAGAAAAGAACAGACTAATTTTGTGCAAGTTGTGAGATAAAATGGTACAGGGTAAAACAAACAGAATACCAGATCAGAGATGGTAAAAATGAAAAGATTGTGTGGTCATGACCTAAAAAGATTATCTCAAAAGTAAAAGTCTCCAGAGGTACAGAAAGAAAAGTCATTAGAATGTTTTAAGGTAATAAAACAGGAAACACCAGAGTAAGAGCAACAATGCGTGGCTCTTTACAGTTCACAAATTCCTTTCACACAAATACGCCACTCAAGCCTCACATCATCCTACGACTAGGTGAGGCAGGGTTATTATGCCCATTTTATTGTGACGAACACGCTAAAAGAGCTTAAGGGTGTTGCCCAAGGTGGGCATGAAACTGGAGTTTCATAGCTAGAAACTGGAGAGTTTACCACCTCTTCCTACCACGTAACTCTGATTTCTGTTAGTGAACTATGGACAGCCCCACAGTTAAAAATCAACGTCCAGTAGTAACGATATGAGCTGATGATCAGAGAGCAATATTAAGAGAACACCTTAGAGAACTGCTAACCCCTGCCCACCACCCCACCTCCACCCTCCTGCTGCTTCCAGTTCTTAACTACCCCAGTGTCCATCCAGTGTTCCATAATTACCCTCTCTCCCTCCGAAGGGTAGTCAGAGTTTGAAGATCAGCAAAATTTATCACTAGTCCAGACTTTAGACTCCTAGGGGCAATGTACTAAAAATAACTCAATTGTTCAGTGATACACAGTATACTCCTACATGAGCAAGGTGCTGAAAAAATGGCAATTCCATCAAAATTATCTCCGATCTCTAGAGAGAAGACATTTTTATCTGTGTCTAAAATTCAAGTTGGAAATTACAAAATAAAAAGTGTGTTATGTGTGTATATGTGATAAACTACATGAAACTGTGAATATTCAACAATTTTTGACCTAGAGAAACTACATTTTGTATAGTTCAACCTGATTCAGATATAAAAAGAGATAGATACGTAAATAGTGGTTATCTCTAGGTAGCAAGATTTTAATTTTGTTCTTATGGCTTATCTATATTGTCTGATTTTCTACAATGAACATGTACTACTTTTGTAATAAGAAAAAAATGTTATTAAAACAACTGAAATGGCCTGGAGTTCAGCTCACAGAGATTCAGATGGCACACACCACTAATACACTCCTACTACTAACTTCTCACGGAAGGCTCAGAGGCCAGCATGTTCTGTTTTGAACACTAAAGGCAGGTAAGTAAGTACCAGGACCTAAGATGACTGTGCTTCTTTTACCAGTTAAACAAAATGCACACGGGCACCAGGGGCTGCAGAACTGAAAATAGAAGTAAATACCTAAAGCTAACACTAATCATAGAAAAGAAATATAAATCTAACCTGAGTCTGGTTTTACAAACGTACCACCTTAAAAGGAAGGGCACACAGAATGGTGGCTGTCAGGAGTGGGGGGAGGGTGTAACAGGGCGTTAGTGTTTAATGGGGACAGAGTTCCAGTTTGGGATGATAAGAAAGTTCTAGAGATGGATAGTAGTGATGGTTGCACAAAAATGTGAATGTACTTAACGTCACTGAACTGCACACTTAAAAACAGTAAATTTTGTCATGTATATTTTATCACAATAAAAAAAGAAAAGGAAAAGTACATTCATTGCTACTCCTTAAGAGTCCTCTGGAACAGGTCACTTCACCTGGAAGGACAGGAGGGTGAGCACCACTGAATCCAATGCTTCCCAGGAAAGGAATAAGCCTGAGCAGAAAGACAAGGGTTGCATCCACTTCCAAACCACAGAGCAGGTGCAGCAGAAGGGTTAATCCGTCTAATTTGTGAGTTTGTGAGAAAATCGTTCAACGTCTAGGAGCAGAAATTGAGGACAGGGTTTTTAAAGCTGGAGTGAACTCAAATTTGGACAGGGCAGGCATGTCTCATTTCCACTTTAAGTGCAATGTTTACTACGCTGTAACTCTGCAATGTTATTAAAACAGCTCACTGGCTATCTGCATGCAAAGAGATAAAACAGAATCTGGCTTCTAAGCTGACCTTCCTGGGGGAAGAGGAAGAAAAGCAGAAAAAGTATAGTGAAAGAGCCCCTTCAGACAGATGTTATCAGGGAAGCAAATAGTTACAGAAATTTTTAAACAAATGAGAAATGACAAGCAACTCTTTTCAATGTTACCGATTTCTTATCCCAAGGAAATGAACTCAGATACCCTACTGAGAGTGGGAAAGGGGTGCAGGGGAAATGAACTCAAGATACTCTACTGAGAGTGGGGAAGGGGTGCAGGGGAAATGAACTCAGATGGCCTACTGAGAGTGGGGAAGGGGTGCAGAGGAGCATCACAGAACACCCACCACCACGCCTACCATTTGTATTTAGGTGAAATCAAGCAGAACTTACCAAGCACAGCCTGCAGGAGGAAAAGAATTCACAAGGTGGTAACATGCAACCAGATCTCCAGGTTGGGGGAAGAGGGGTGGGCAGGAGAGGAGCTCAAACCTTAGGAAGGATGGAGGATTTATAAGCTAATCACTGAACGACTTCTCATCTTTTTCTGTATTCCCTGAGAAGTGGCCTCTTTCTTCCCCATGTCAATCTGGCTCCTTGAGTCACTACCCAGGAAGCTCAAGGTATACTGTTCCCTAACATTAGAAGTTCAACTCAAAGAGGACAGGGACCCTGTATTACTTGTGTAATATTCCCCAGAGCCCAGCACAGTGCCTGTCACATAGCAGGCACTCATATGGTCACTGCATGAGTCCTGTTCCAATTTCCCATAACCTTTATTGAAAAGGATGGCCTAAAATGAAAGAAATAAATTCCTGCTTGGGGAACTCCAAGTGAAACAATTATATTCTAGGCAAGAAACCAGAACTAAAGAAAATTAAGCCACACTCTGAGATATCTGTGGATCCTTAAAATGACTAATTTATCAGGAGTTTTTATGTAAGCTGCAAATCCAGAAAAATCAACAAAAGCAGTAATAGTTACACAAGACATAACTTTACCAGTTAGAAGACAATGTCCCACTTTCTATTTAAATAGATTTAAAAAATCAGAACCAAACCAAAAGGCAAGAAATTAGTCCAATCCGTCAGCCATGAATTCCAAGGCTAGTGAAACTCCACTCTGTCTTTATAGAGGGGACACTATACTTACTTTCAGGCTGGAAGACAAACTCATATACCCAGACTATCAGCAGCGTCCACATCACACTCCACGCAATCAGCTGCCAGGGCTCATACTTGGTGCAATGCCCATTCACATAATTCTTGGCTTTTGTGGAATATACTTCCAAAATCTCGAAGTAGGGCTCAAAGGCCTTCTAGAAATACAAGAGAAAAAAGAAATATTACATTCAGAGAGAGAAAGGAAGTCTGTTCTGAGTCTGTTCTTCAACTCTCATTTTTCAAGGGCAGGCCATTCACGATCTGGCCCTACCTCAACAATAATCTTATCATCCTCCAAAGCCCGCAAAGTGTCTGCTCCAGCCACTCCAGTGCACATTGCCCCTTACGAGTCATGTGGACTTTGACAAGATTTCTGATCTTCTGCCTATTCTGTAACATACAAGGTTAAGCTAGGTCATCATTTCAGCTCTACAGCCTCTACACAGCAGTATTCATTGCCCACTCTCTTAACTCAAACTACTCCTCTCAGTACGAATGTCTTTCTCTACTTTATCAGAATCTTTCCCATCCTCTAACCCAGGGGGGTCAGCAAACTGTTTCTGTAAAGGGCGAAAGAGCAAACATTTTAGGCACTGCAGGCCAAACGGTCTCTGTTAACAACTACTCCACACTGCTGTGGCAGCACAAACACAGTTAGAGAGCGCCAGTCAGCCAATGAACGGGCTGTGTCCCAATAAAACTTAATTATAGACGTTGACATTTGAATTTCATTTAGCACAAAATATTATTCTTTTTTAACAATTTAAAAATGTAAAATATCATTCTTAGTTCACAGGCAGTACAAAAACAGGCAGCAGGCCAGATTTAGCCCATAGGCCAAAGTCCGCCCATCTCTGCTCAAAGGCCCTATCTGACTAAAAAACTCTTAAAGCCAGGCTTATCATTATATGTATCCCTCACAATACCTGGCACAAGCAAGAAAAAATCCTCTCATTTAAAAATTTACCAGAATATCTCACTCACAAGAATTAATCTCCCCCATTAAAATCTCCTCAAGTGTTCATCTGTGCCTCTACACAGAGCATATCACAACCTGCCCGCAGTCGGCTCATCTCCCTGACTACACAGTTAGGTCTCTGAACACAGACCAGATCTCAGTCATATTTACAAGCCCCACAGTGCCCTGCACAAAATAAGTTCATCTGATAGCTTGTTATTCATTCACTTATTCAACACTTATTAAGCATCCCAGTGTGTAAGGCATTAAGCTGGGGGAGCATTAAGGTAAATATCATAATTCTTGCCCCTACTGAGTCTCCAATCTAACGATGTCTCTATGGGTATGTGTGTGCCTAGATATACACACACGCACATACACAGGCAGACACATATATAAACGAATAATTAAAACTCTTCAGGATAAACACTATAAAAAGGATGTAAGTGAAGTGTTAAGAGAGACCACTGAGGAAGGCTTATCTAACTTTACCTCAGGGGAGACGGGGAAGATATGACAGAGGATAAAATCTCAGCTGCTTAAAGGGTAAAAGAATGATCAAAGAAAATTCTGAAGGCAGAAAAGCTAAAAGAAAAAAAAGTCATACCAGGAAGAGAGAATAGTAGCTGCAAATGCATAGAGTCTGGGAACGGCGGAAAGAGGCACATCTAAGAGTGTGCGCTGGGTCAGGGCAGGGAACAAATCTGTTAGATCCAGTGCTACATCTCCAACACACAGCTGAGTGCCTGGCCCCACTCGTACTGAAATAAAACATGGAGAGTGGCTGACAGTGACCAAGGAAATGAGCGAACACGTCGATCTGAGAACCGAGGCTGGGAGAAGGGCACTAGGTCCAGATTAAAAATGGCTTTGAGGGCCGGCCCCGTGGCTTAGTGGTTAGGTGCATGTGCTCTGCTACTGGCGGCCCGTGTTCGGATCTGGGCACACACTGACGCGTCGCTTCTCCAGCCATGCTGAGGCCGCATCCCACATACAGCAACTAGAAGGATGTGCAACCATGACACACAACTATCTACCGGGGTTTTAGGGAAAAAAAAAGAGGAGGATTGGCAATAGATGTTAGCTCAGAGCCGGTCTTCCTCAGCAAAAAGAGGAGGATTAGCATGGATGTTAGCTCAGGGCTGATCTTCCTCAC